TCACCGTTAAACGAAGTCTTTACTCATGGATCACAGAAGATTCTTACTTTTCACCAAAACACATTTTCAGCTGTGACGACCGCTGTTGAGAACAGTAAAGTGACTCATAAGAAGAAATGTGAAGCGTGAGTGTTCAATGTCCTATTGAACTTTCCTCAAAGATTACTGGTGAAAAATGCTCTGTTCCAGAGCGTTGGCTGCCGGGAAGCCCCCTCCACGTTTCGATTTCTTGTGGACCGAAAACTTGGCGTGAGTCATTTCTGAACTTTGTTGGTAATGTTAAGTATCAAGTAATCGTGAAAAGCTGTTTTTTCGACAGGTCTTCGAGGGCATAGGTTCTTCACCTAGTTACTCGTTTGTCGCGTTTGAAGCTTCACACTTCTTTTTACAGCCCTCCTTATGCTTTGAAATGCTGCAACAACTTTGAAAGCCACTCTTTAGGAGAGCTTTACGAAGCCAAATGGATCTTTACTGGTCAGTACTGTTGAGCTCCGACACCTACGCTAAAGCCGCTGATGGCATTGTCACAATCTTCAGTAAAGAAATTCTTCCTTATTTCAAAGGAGAAATCAAATTGAGGTAGCAATCGAAATCCACTCCAGTCCGAATATGAATCTGAAAATAGTATTTCAGTCGTTTGCTTGTGGAATACACTCGACGTAATCCAGACAAGGCTTTCATACTGGCTTGCCCAAGTGTTCAGAAACTTATGAAAGACGAAGGAGTCGATTTAAACAAGTATGCTTGAAAGTTTAAATTAATGGTTGTGCAAAAACTATGCCGTTTACTATGGATCGTCTGGTACTCGTGTTTTTTTTCTCACGAAGATTGTCTGGTAGATCGATACACTGTCATCACTCCAGGGAGGATAGTGTTTATAGGGTGCGCCAAAAATGAAATAACTTGCTCATAAGTCCTTCATCCAGTGGAAGTCGTTCAAAAAAACTTTAACGGCTTAGAGAACCTCATTCTTCACTTCTGTTGCTAGTTCATTTATTGCCTGTTCGCTTCTTCCTTAGTAG